GTTTGGACATACCTTCAGGGTAGATCCACCTGAATGTTGTTATCATGTTATATAATGACTTAAACCCCAAATCACTTACAGCATCAACTGTGAAACTGTCTGGTGTAGGCAGTCTGTTATATAAATAGGTTGTCCACAGAGCCCATGGAGTCTCCATCCTTGGAAGTTTTTGAAACCTGACCAGGCAGAACCATGAGTAACCTGGTCTGAAATCAGTCTTGACTGTGATTTGAGCAGGAGATTGGATTAGAGACCAGCTAGTCCCTTTCAACATGAATTGCGAGTCTGTATGATTTTCTTGCCATTGTCACATTTATTTAAAACTTGGAGCTGCCAGTGATACAAAACATCAGGTGTTCTTGAACATTTGGCAGCTTCAGCTAAGGGATTTTTGTGAATTTCTGGAAATTTGTACTGGCCAGCAAAATTTGGATGAGTCCTCAAATAAGAATCCTGGGGTAACTCCACCACTGAAGCAGCAGGGATCATAATCCAGTGGGTTGTGTTTTGCTCATTGCAGTGTAAGGGTGTTAGTTTTTGTGATTCCAGATGGTAAATTATTGACATAAATCCAGTGATCCAGAGTATGAACAGAAAGCAGAAATTCAAAACATACCTTGACACTTCTCATTTTTAACCACATTGCAGGTGGGAAGAGCTGACCTATTATTTTTTGAGGGTGATGTTGACAACACTGGCATCCTTCCCTGACCTGTTTTTAGAAATGAGAGGAAATGTGGCATATGAGGCCAGCATGCACCCATTCCTGGGTTAGCAGTGCAGAGAGCCCAGTCTGCTGTGTCAGATCATCTCTGCTGGCATTTCCTGCAGCTTTCAGTCATTCTGAAACTGCCTCCAAATATTTTCTGTTAGGTGGCATAATACACATTGACTGCAGTGTAGATGCACCAGCTCTCAAACCTATATCACAAACCTATTTACTTGTGAGTAAAACATTTAAATTATATTTTTAAATTATTAAAATTTATGTTTTCTTTTTGTGTAAACAAAACATCCATCTATCAGTTGAAGAGGAGAATATGATCAGAATAGAATTGGTGTGTGGAGTATTATGTCTTTCACATGTACCCTGGTTTTCAATGAGGAAATAAATGCTGGCATTTCACTTCTCATTATGAATCAAAACATCAACTGTTACTATTTTGTATTATTTTCTTCAGAGCATACATTACTTGGCTTCTGAAAATTGGTTGTTTGGGTTTGGTTTTTTTCCTTGCCTGGCATTATAGAAAACACCCTTCTTCCAAACAACATCAAGTACAATAATGCAAAATCAGCTTGAGAGAAAAGGCAATGGTGCATACAAAGATACTGCTCATGGAATGTCTATCCCAAATTCTTATTACATCCTCACAGTCTTGAATAAACAAACTCTTGCAATTACTTGCAGCTAATGTTACCCTGACAACAGTGTGTATATATAACAAAATTCAGTAATCACTGCCAACAAAACCCCCAGTACAGCTAATGCTTCTGTTTGCCAGGATGAAATATTTTCATTGAGGATTAAATCAACTCCAGATCATAAGTTCTGCCTTCAGTATTAGGATCAAAAGTAATTATTCATTCTAGTTTATGGAGATAAGTTTGGTTTGAGTTCCCTGTTTATCAAATAGTGGTATGCAAAGGGAGAAGCTGTATCTCTCTTTACCAGTTAAGTAGTGATAAATCACTTGGCATTGTTCTGGCAAGCACAGTCTGCCTCTGATGCTTTTTGGTGCAAGTTTCTCCTCACTCAATTTTGCCAGTTCTGTGCATGCTACTGATCAGCATATTTACAGCTGAGGAACAGCAGCCTCCTGGGACAACTGCAGGAATGCAAACTGGAAATATTTTTTTATTTAACTTACAAAGAGATAGAAATTGTGGAATCCAGTACTTAAATGCAGCAGTTCATATGCTGGTGTAAACAAGGTTCTACTTCAAATGCCAATAAAGGGTATATCAGTTTAAATAAATTACTGGTCTGTTGCCTCCCCTGAGCTCTGATCTGTTCTGTAGCTGCTGTTGTAGTCTCTCTGATCATTAGATTCTCTTGACACCCAGTTTTAGTTTCAAGGTAAATTTACTTCTAAGGAATCTTAGATTCTTGACAAAGACTCAGAATTTTTCCAGTTTAGGGGAAGTCCTGCCAAGTTTAAAATTTTTCTGTACATTCAAATGTTCGTGTTTGGTGCTTTCTAAGACAGAGACCACTGAAGCTGCAGTATTTCTGAACACCAGCACCTACTAAACACTAAAAGCAAACATTAGTTAAGTGCACTAATGGTTTGTAAAAACAGTAGCTTCCTTCTAGGAGTGAATATTTATTTTAATTTACATATGTTAAACCAGTGATTTTATTAACCAGTGCTTCAGTTGACCAGTTGAGTTGGGAAAAGCAGGACCAACCTAGGACTCTTGTAGATTTTGTCAAAAATGTTGGTCAAGAAAATGAGGGCTGCTCATCCTTCCTTCTTCAAGAATACAATTTCTAGAAAGATGGCAGTAATGCCCTTCCCTCCTTCTTCTGTTTACTGAAACTTAAGTATATGCTCTGCTCAATACGTATTTATTAATATTAAAATACAAAACTAATAAAACTAACTTGCTCTTTAACAACTTTACACATTTCTAAACTGGATTTCAGTTTTAGTGGTGTGAAGTTTGATGCACTTCCAAGTGAGTGCACTTCCAAATTTCCAAGAAATTTGTAGATGAAATAATAAAATATTTTGTCACCAGTCAGCAAAAATGTAAGATATAAGGGTTTGGGGGTTTTTTGAGTGTAAGGACAGCTTGAACTTACTAGGTTTGTGTCTCCTGGCTTTGAAAGTTGCTTGTGATCAATTTACAGCAGCAGAGCTTTTAATACTTAAAGCAATTATTTTATTGCCCAGAGAAGTTGTGGATGCTCCATCCCTGGAAGTGTTCAAGGCCAGGTTGGATGGGACTCTGAACAACCTGGTCTAGTGGAAGGTGCTTGCCCATGGCAGAGGGATTTGGAACTAGATGATCTTAAAGGTCCCTTTCAACCCAAATCATTCTGTGATTCTCTAGTTTTAATATTCTGTTTACTTAGTAGAACTATTGCTAAAATTTGCTGTTTATTTAAAGCAAAAGTTATTATTGGGCTAGTGTCCTCTAGAAATAAATACTAGATTTCATTTCCCCTTGAATTTTAGTAACAGAAGCTGTTGTTCTGCAAAGTTAGTTCAATGACCAGCATTCTGTAGTAGCAAACCTTTAATAGGGGAACTTGCATGTTTGTTTCTTGTCTGTAGTTGTGTTTCCTCCATCTGTGCTCATTTGATGGGAAGGAGGTGGGAGAACCTTGCAAAACAGTTGATAATACCAGTGCTGCCAGCTGTGTGCTGTGCTTGTACAGGTGTCTGACTGGACTGGCACAGATCTCTAACTGGTTTGAGGTGGTGGTGCTGGGGAGCTTCAGTGGAAATTATTTTGGGTTTCAGGTCATAGCCTCAGTGACCTTGTGGTGAGGAAAGTGTGATTGGCATTTCTGCCCAGCTGAAATAGGGAGCAGCAGAAAATCTAGCAGTGTCTCATTCTTTAAATTTCATACTTTGGATAAACAAGAAACCCTCAGAGAAAGGGGTATTACTTCTGGAGGAAGCCTTTTCAGTAACACCCTCCTGAATACAAAGCAGCAGCATGACTGTTCTTCAGCACAGCTGTTTCTTCATTATTTTAGCAGTTAATGGTTTTTTGCTGAGAGGTTTTCAGGCATTCTTGGTTAGACTTCATAATGAAATTTTCAGTTTCCAGTTCAGACTCCTGTACCTCTGTGTGGTTGTAAGGTTTGATTTCTTTGTGTTAGCATCTGAAATACACCGTTAAGGTAGTGACCCCTCTTGCAGGAATTCTGTTTGGCTTATAACTTATTAGCTTAATCATAATGTAAGGTGAGGAAAAACAGGAGTCTGGGCTGAATTACAAGTAGTAGTTCTGTGATGTTTTATTCAGTTGCAGATAGGAAAAAATACACATATTGGAAAACTTTGGTGTTTTTAGTCTAACAGTGTTTGTGATGAGGTGGACAGCAGCAATCTTTGTGTGCTTAGTTTGAAGAGTGAACTGCTGCTGTGCTTGTGCAAACTCATCCTTGTGCAGTTTGCTTGCACTTACACCGCTGGTTTTCATTATTGATCTAGTCTTCAGAGTAGTGACTTGTTACAAACATTCTACCTAAATAGTGATCCGCGTGCATAGATCACAATATGCTAGAAATAAATAAAATATTCTGAACGGGATCTGGAGAGGAGAAAACTGATGGATCTACAAGTATAGTAGAATTTATCCACCAAATACTTTGAGAAATGTGGGACAACCAGAACAAAACAAGTGTAAGTTAGTTAATCATTGGACAATTAGACAAGTAGTGAAGGGAAGCAGCCCTTCACTACTTGTCTAATTGAGATCTGGTGAACGTTGCTTAGCAGAAAAGACAGTTCAAAGTAAAAACCTTAAATTAGCCACAGATCTTGTGGGAAATGGTTTTGCTGCTGTTGAGTGGAGACAGCTATCTCTTGAAATTGGGTTGTTAAAGCCTTAGATGGTACTAGCTGAAATAAAAAGTAAAGCTGCACTCCACTTAGAAGAGAATTAATCTAGTGCCTGCAGGGTAGGACAGATTGTCCATAGGGTTTAGCAGTAATGAATGAGCTCTCCCTTTCACGTGGTCCTTCACTGATTCACAAAACCCTAAAGAAAGGGAGGGAAATCCTTCTGAAAGACCACTTTGCTCTACATTCTTACTAGCAGCAAGGCAGAAGCATTCATGCAATTGAACTTCTAAAAAAATTTAAATTGTTAACTAAATAGTGTAATTAGCTTTTTTCCCCCCTCTGTAGTTTTAATAAAAACTGAAAATCTGGTATTGCTCTGGGTGTGCAATGAATACTTTTGACCTCCAGTTTATGAGTTGGCTTGCAATGTTTCTCTTTGTAATTGACTTTCCTTTTTTCTTTTTTGTTAAACAGCCAAACCATTTACAAAGTTGGTAAAAGAAATGCAACTCCATCGAGATGACTTTGAAATTATAAAAGTGATTGGAAGAGGTGCATTTGGAGAGGTAAGAGATTTTAACTTTCAGTTGTAATATAAAGCTTTCATCATTTGTGCTGTTTGATTTCTTGTTACAGTTGACCTTAGGACAAAAGCTTCATACAGATGTGCTAAAATACTCCCAAATGTGGGATATAGCTGGGTACCTAATGCAAGGTCCCTTTGAAGCAGGTTATTCAGTGTCCAGGTGTGCCATTTCTGTGACTGGCTTTCTGACTTCAGTGTAGCCAAGCAAATGTCTCTTGGATGAGTGAATGAGCAGGATGGTCCCACCTAGCAGCTGCACAGCTGAATTTGGGATCCCTTCTCCACTTGCCATATGTAGTGCTCACTGCTGCTCTAATTTAACACAGAGCTGGGCTGCTGCTATGGTAGGAGCGTGGAGGCTGCTCCACCCATCTGCCTGTCTCTGTAGCAATCTGGTAATGCAGAAAGACGCATTTGGCTGCCTCAAAGGCTGTTCCCTGTCATCTTTGAAGATCAAAGGCTGCTGGATCTGTTTTTTGGACAGCAAGTTGAATCATGCTGGGATGATAGGAACGCCTTGTGTTTTGAGGACTCGCCAGTCCCAGGACCCTGGACTGAAGCTTAACTTCTTAATATATTTGATGAAAGTCTCATCAATCACAGAAGCCTGGTAGGGCTTGCCCATGGCAAAAGCCTTCACAGACGGCAGGCATAGGATACCCAAGGCTTTGGGAGGACCTCAAAGACAACCTTTTCAGCATTTAAGAACAAGTAACTAAAGTCATAGCTCTCAGCAAAAAAGGTGATTAACTAGAGAATTTCTAGAAGTAAAAATCCCTTCTATTTCTTTCAGGAAACCTTTTTGAAGTAGTGCCACACAAAAGTGAAATGCAGAGACTGCCATTAGTGGCTGATTTCAGCCCATGAGCACTCAGCTGCACCTTCTGCTGCCAGTGCCTAAGGAGAAGCTTCCTGATCCCCATGTCCTGTTGTCTTCACAGAGAGCAGGATTCTGCCATGCCAGGCATTCCTTCCAAGCCTGGTGTGTTCTGGGCACCCCAAACTCTTTCATGTAGGGTTTGAATGTGGGACAGGGTAGCAGAGGGCAACCAGAAACTCAGCTAGAGAAACACCAGGATCCTGCTTCACCTGGGTTCAGAAAACAACAAGGTTTCTGTGTGCATATGCGCTTGGTAGTGGGTGAAGTAATGACTTTATATGCACGTAATTTTAAGCTACTTCAGAAACTGCTTTTGAGAAAAGTGGACACCTAAGACAGAAATTAACGTTTCAAGAATATCTCTTCATGTGTACCATCATTTAATGATGCAGTAGCATATGGTTTACATGTAATCATCATGAACACAGCTGCTGAAGGAAGTGAAGCATTTTAATAAAATGCCCAGATTAGCAATAATGTCTTGCCCTGTAACACAAAAATTCACTTTCTAGTGGATGCTGAGCTTGATGAGTGCAATATTTGTTACATAAAAGGAAGTGTTATCTGAAAGTAATGGAACTGCTGCATGAAAATCACTTAGTTCATTTGAGTGATTCACTTTAGTATTATTTGAACACGAATTTTAGAGGGAAGAAAAGTTATGGTAAAAAGTTTGTCAGGAAAAAGCAATAATAGGAAAAATATTGGTTAGTCTAAGGGAGGACTGAGAGCTACAAACTTAGTCCAGAAAAGAAGTCTAAATTGGGAGGTTTATAAGTAGATAAAAGGCCTAAAGAATCAAGACAGTAGTGGGTACTTGTCTGTCTCTTTGTTAGAGTTTTGGTTCAAAGCAGTGGCACAGTTTTGAATGCCCCCACCTACTGCATGAGAATTTTACTCTCCATGAGCTGGGTTTCTTCTGGAGGAAACTAACCAGAACCTCCATTCCAGGTGTGCACCAAATGGCCTTTTGGATCCAAGGAGTGCATAAGAATCAATCACTGGGTTTGACTTTCCTAAGAGCTTCAAAGCGTGTTTGGTCCAGGAAATCAGGGTAGATACAGTCAGAAACAAAATTCCTGAGCTGCATACAGTATAGATGGGAAGGCTCTGCACAGGATACTTTGATGTTGTTCTGCTCTTGCTGTGCCAAATGACTTGCTATAGTGGCTGTGACCACTGATATCTAAAGAATTTTAGATTAGCATTTTGGCAGTTTGTCTTTTGGCAGGATTAGAAAAGGTTTCTGGATCTTTTCAGAACTAGACTTGTGATTGCTTTGGCTATCAAGAATGGGAACCCTTTATAGTGACTTGCAGATGGAGTCAGTATTGGGAATGCCTTCCCACAGTACAATATTCAAGGAAGGCTTGTTTTCCATAGTGCTTGTTCTGTTCTTTTTCAAAAGATGCTCTACTTAAAGAATTGACCAGCTGGAAGTCTCAGTACAACAGCAGATGAAGTATTTGTATGCATTTCAAGAGACTTGAGTTTATATTTGCTGGAATGACCTTTCTTAGCTTTGGATCAAAGTCTTAAGGTGCATGAAAGATACAAATGCTGAGTGGAAACTTGTGTTAATAATGTTTGGAGTGCCAGAATCAACAATGTGTTTCATACTCTTACATTTGGAAAAGTATGGAACTTGGCAAAAGCAATTCACACATCCCATCCCCCCCAATGGAAATGAAATTTCACAGAAGTGAAATGAGAAGGTATCTTAATTTCATCCTTCTGTTGGAGCTGAGTGCTCACAGAGTCAGTGCTATCAGTTACCTGGCAATATCACATCTTGTTCATCTCTTATCTAGAAAAGCTTTAATTTATAGTTGCAGCAGCTTGAAACTTTTGATCAGTTTAAATTATACAGGAATCATTGATTTTAAGTTCATTATACTTTAATCACTCTTGCCACAAAGTATTTTGTGCTTTTTGCTTATGAAAGAATCCTTTGACCCTTGTATATACCACACTGCTATAACTGCCAGATTTTATAGGCATTATAAAATAGTAATTATGTAAAGGTTGACATTCCATAATAAGAAAATGAAATGTAGTTTTTTGAAAAGAACTGGTGGCATCTGACTTGTATAAAACAACACTTGAGAAAGCTGAATGGAGGAGTTGTGAGTAATTTTTCCATAATACTTTCATACATACATGGGAACTATGTTTGAAATTACTTGATGGGCTTTATGTGCTAAAAATACATTTTAAGAATACCTATAAAATATTTGTTTAAATGTATAAAGAAATTATTCAGAATTAAACTAAACAGATTCCTGTTAGAATGAAGTAGTTTAATTTAAATACTGAACAGCTAAACAAGGTAGACATCAAAAAGGATGAAAATTACATTCCATTCTTCTCAGTTTACCTTCTTTGGATTTTTTTGGAGAGTGCCACGGGCTTTATTCTTCCCAAAGAACTTTTGCATAAATCAGTAGCTTTGAAGAAATACAGTTCCAACAAAATAAAAGCATGATATTAGTTATTAGTCAGGATCAGTGGTCAATTTTTGCCAGAAAAGATGCAAGCCAAGGAAGGAAACGTGGTATTTGACCAAAAAGAGGATTGAGAGCACATGGGAGCTTTTATCCCTGTGAACACGACTGCAAAATCAGTATCTAAGGCAGGTTGATATAATCACCAGAACACATCTGTACTGGCATGTCAGTACCTTTTTCTTTCTTTCTCCTTTGCAGAACTCACCTTGATTCTTTACACTTTTCCCAGCAATATGAGAACAAAACCCAATGCAAAACCACCTTAATGAAGGTTCTTGTAGCATGGCATGTCTGAGAAAGCAAGAGAAAAATGTTTCTTAAATTGTCATTATTATGCTAGGGGAGAAACAGCCTAGCTTAGAGCCTAGAGATTTCCTCTGTAGCCACCTGGACTTCTCCTTTCACATAAAGGAAGCCAGCCACTTTGCAATCAGGGAGAACTGAATGTCTGAATATTCCTTACAGCAGCATGTAGGGCTCTGACTCAGGAAGTCACTGGCTTGAGAATGTCATTTTTTCAGAAGTTTCATAGTTAGGAAGAAATAGTTAATTAGTTAGTTAAACTTCTAACTAAGTTAGTTAGAAGTTTAATGTTAAAACATGTAACATGTTTTATATGTTTTTTGAGTGTATGACAGAACAGTTTATAATTTGAAATGCTAGAAGGAGGATAAAGTGCTCATGGTTCTTCCTCATCTCTAGGCTGTATTTGCCTGGGTGTATACCCATACCCAGCTGGGTGGAGCATTTTCATGAGTGCCCCAGTGTTACTTTTAGTTTTTCATTTTCTGGGTCATACAGGCAGGTACCTCCTGTACATAGGGACAACCTTCACAGGGAGCAAAACTAATAATAAGTGAAAAGCCCCCTGAAATAAATTCAGTAGTAAAATGGTTTTCTGTTATCTAAATTCTGGTTTCTATTAATAAAATTACTGCAGAAGGCTGTGTTTGTAGACAAGAAAGAGTATTTTGTGTAGCAGGAAGTATTTTGCAAACTACACAGAAAATACACAAACTACACAAGAGTGAAAATCACTTTTGCAAACTACACAGAAGTGAAAATACAGTCTTTAGGAGATTTAAGGAATATCAGCATAGAATGCAAAATTCTTTCAGATTTTCAACCTTTAGAAAACCACACCAAAACAACAAAGAAACCAAAAAGCAGTCGAGCTGTGGTTTGAAGTTTGCCTGTACCTGACTGTTCCTTTCATCGAGAAACACCATGGACCGTTACTTGAAATGAAAGGATGTCCTGAGGACCTGGCCTTGGTGGGATTGTACTTACTGGGAACCTCGGGCCAGCCTGAGAAGTGCTCTCTGTGTGCTTGGTGTTTGGCTGCACATGCCAAATGAACTGGGAGCAATTGTGCTTACAGCAAGCTGAGAGGGATAGGAGGAGGACGCTGTACATGGGGGCTGTGGCTCTAAACACTTGCATGTGCTTCTTTGCAAGGTTCATCTGCCCTCAGTGATGTGCTTGTATGTCTTTAATGTCACATGTCTCTTTTTGTGTAAAAGACTATTTAGGCACACTGCTGTAGATAACACACTCCAGTCAAAGAGCAGGTGTTGAAGGAAGAATGAGTCA